TTACATAATTCCTGCAGAACCATCAGAAATTGCTCTTTGAAAACTAAAGCTGGTAAATTATTTGGGTGCACTGGGTTATTTGTTCAAATTTTAGGCAACTTGAGACACTGTTTAAGAACACTAAGCAGTGTCTGGATGCTCTGGAAGGGTTTGTGCTGCAGCACAGGAATAAGGTGTTGCCATTATTCTTGTGATTTTTCTGATATAAAAGAGAAGAGCAAAATGCAGATACATTAGAGATTATTACCTGAGAATTCCTAACCTAAGAGGAATTATTACTTTTTTTTTTCTTAAAGGTATTAAAATCTAAAATCTAGTTTTATCTCTGGGAGCACTTTATTAATTACATCTATAATTCTACTGTTTTTTGGCCAGGGTAAAAATGTTTAAAAATAACTAATTTTGTGATTTTGGATGTAAAACATGGGTCTTAAAATTCTATGTGTTGTGATGGGGTTTCTTTTTGTTCTTTTGTTGTTGTGTCCTATCCTTGTCCTGTTGTCTTATGTGTCACGTGTGTTGTTTCCTCCAGTCTTATTCTCAGGGACAGTCTTGTGCCAAACCTCAGACTGCCCTTCAGATCCCATGGGTGATGCCAACCAAAGTGATTTGGCAACTAGATGGGAATGCTGGAACACTTTCAGAAATATGTATCTCAAAAGCAAACTATTGCATCTGTGGAAATTGCCCATTTCATTCTCAGAGCTGTGTGAAAAAATTTTAATTGGAACCATTACCGAAACACCAGGGCAGGATGTTGTCTGTCCCCACAGTGGGATTGAGTTCAAGGATGAGACATAGAATACCAGAAATATTTGGGTTGGAAGGGACCTTAAAGCTCATCTCCTTCCACCCCTGCCGTGGGCAGGGACACCTTTCACTGTCCCAGGTTGCTCCAAGCCCTGTCCAACCTGGCCTTGGATGCTTCAAGGGATAGGGCAGCCACAACTTCTCTGGGCAACCTGTGCCAGGGCCTCCCCACCCTCCCAGGGAACAATTCCTTCCCAGTATTCCATCTGACCCTGCCCTCTGGCAGTGGGAAGCCATTCCCCCTTGTCCTGTCCTTCCTGGCCTTTGTCCAAAGTCCCTCTCCAGCTCTTCTGGAGCCCCTTTAGGCACTGGAAGGGGCTCTAAGGTCTCCCTGGAGCCTTCTCTTCTCCAGGTGAACACCCCCAGCTCTCCCAGCCTGTCTCCAGAGCAGAGGGGCTCCAACCCTCGGAGCATCTCTGTGGCCTCCTCTGGACTCGCTCCAGCATACCTTGAGAATGTGGCTGTCCCGGATGTTGGGAATGCAAAATAGGACATGCACGCTGGCTGAAGATGTTAAAACATGTGGAAATGGAGCCCATTCCTTGACCGATGCTTATGTAGGGGCAAGGTGGCTGTCCAGAGTACACAGAAAAATCATGGAATCATCTAGGTTGGAAAAGACCTTGAATCCATAAAAAAACCCTGAAAGAAGCTACTGGAAATCAACGTGACAAGGAATTAAAAGGAACATGGGAAAAACTGAAGGGTTCAATGAAAATCAGCAATTGACACGAACCATTGTGTTACAGAGAGGGGTCCCCTTGAACAGATTATTCCACTGGTATCCTGTGCTTGGATACAGACAGGAAGGGCACTGTGCCCCAGTGTTTGCCTATAGGTGACTACCAACCCATGGATACCCTGCTTCCGTTGCCTCTGACCTCTTTCCATGTGGAATTCTGGCTCTGTGATGCAGACCAAAAGCATCAATTCCTTTGGAGATTATTTCAGTCGTTCAACTTCCATCTTTTGTCACTAGAGGGAAGGAACGGGTGCAGGAGAGTTAAACGCACAGAAGGAAACGAAGCAAAAAGCCAAGTGTGAAGTCTGGGAATCAGTCTTGAGTATTTGTGCAAACTGTTGAAGGAATACTTGCAAACAACAACTAAATTTAGCTTTTTGAAATGGTTCTAAACAAAAATATGCAGCTGAATAACAAGGATTTCAAGAAGACTTCTGTCAAGAAATTCTTGTCAAGACAAGAAGATTTGTCTTCTCTCCATGGGAAGTGTGCAGTCACTAGTGTGTGCCCAGGTGGCCAAGAAGGGCAATGACATCATGGCCTGTAGCAGGACCAGGGCAGTGACTGTCCCCCTGTACTGGGCACTGGTGAGGCCACACCTCAAGTCCTATGTCCAGTTTTGGGCCCCTCGTGACAAGAAAGACATTGGGGGGCTGGAGCATATCCAGGGAAGGGAACTGTGCTAGGGAAGGGTCTGGAGCAGCATGAGTGGCTGAGGGAGCTGGGGGGGCTCAACTCATTGTCTCCCTGAGAGCTTCCTGGAATTGGCAGGTGCGGGAGATCCAGATGAAAGGATTCAGTCCCTAGAGCAACCTTGACTGCCGTAACTGCTATTGACTTTTGACCTGCTTGTTTTTCCATTGATCTGCAAATAGCCTGAAAGGCAGAGATATGAATCTAAAAATGAACAAAACAAAATAAAAAGCTTCATCTTAGCTATTGTTGATTGAGATTTATCTGATCTTTTGCAAAATTAATAGAATGGTGCTGGGGACATGTCTTTTGTTCTTCTTGTTCAAAGAAGAGCAAGTTATTTGATTGTTTGTTAAGGTCAAGTAAGAGCAACATCATGCGACTCATTAAAGGTTACAGAGCTCTCCCTAAAATTAGATCTCGACTATTATATCTCATCTCTCTGTGGATGATCTGAGCACTGAATGTACCAGAACATTCAAAGAGCCTCTGACATGCGACAGCCCTGTGAAGTTTTTCACATCTGAAAACTGACTCCCATGTGGTTCCATGTTGCCTTCCTCTTGATGCCAAGACAAGAGACCCTCTCCAGCCTTCTTTAGGGGCTGGACATTTACATTTCCAGGTGTTTGGCATGGGATGTGCTTTGGTTGCTGACTCAGGAGCTGGAAAGGCCCTGTGGGAGGTTATTGCACATCTGTGAACATGGGGAGGTGGCAGCATGTGTGTGGGACAGCTCCACCTGCCAGTAACAACTCCCTGTTAGTGAGAGCTCCCATGTCCTGTGCCCAAGGGCACAGTGCTGTCTCAGAAGCATTCCTAACAATGTTTTGGATACTACATGTTTCAGTTGTACTTGCAGGAGGCTCCTGCTGCCATGGTTGATGGCTGGGCACTACGGGCTGCGGCAGCTGCGTGTGTGTGACACAGGGATTGTGTCACTGTGCAGTTGTGCTTAACATGAAAAAGGCATCACTGTGTTCCAGCGATAATAATGCCAGCGAGGCCTCCCCAGCCACCATGTGAGAGCCAATCTCTCTCTTCCCCTTTCTCTTTCCTTGTCAAGGAAACTCTGTAGTATCGTGTGCTGCAGAAGAAGAGGAAGAATTCCCTTTTGTGTACACTAGAATTTCTTTTGGCAGCTGGGAAGATCTCTTGGAATGCAGTAATGAAGGGTAGAGCTTACAGGAGTGGGGATCCGGCTTTACCGACAGAGCACGCAGTGGAAACATCGTGACTATTAAAGATTTTTTTTTTACTTGGAGCATTCTACTCCCAAATCCTTCTGATGCAAATTGTGGGTAGGGGAAAATGGTGCACCAGAAAAATCTGTGCCCTGGCAGCAGATGAAAGGGAGAGAACTGTGGGGAAATGGCACACGTGGGGTGGCAGAGCTGCTGCGAGGGACAATCCTGACATTGTGTGGGCCAGATGTGCATGAATTAGTGTGGGAATGCTCAGAACTGCCCAAATGGAGCACTCATGCAATTCCTGTGCCACAGCAGTGCAGTGCTTACGCAACTTCTCTCGATCAGCAGAGGAGAGTCATTCCTGTAGGGATTCAGGCTGATCCCAGTGAGGTGCAGCCTGGGCTCTGGTGCTGAATAAACCTGGAAAGTGGGTGTTTTGTAAACAAATGGAGCAACCACAACTCCCTGCTCAGTGTGTTTGCCAGAGGCTGGGAATGATGTGTGTGTGTGTGTTGGAGAAGACCACAGGAGGAAGGAAGTTCCTTATTCCTGGGTGTCTACAGGGAATCAATCTGTAGGGGACTTTTTTGCTTCTCATTGAAGATCTCCAGTAGAATTTTAGGAAATCCTTGGTGAAGCCCTCTACATATCCTGGTTGAATTTTGGGAAATAATCTGTCAGTGGATTTTTGCTTGTTAGCGAGGGTCTCCAGATGCCCTGGTAGAATTTTGAGAAATAATAAGTGAGTGGTTTTTAGCTCCTCACTGAAGATCTCTAGTTGTCCTGGTAGAATTTTGGGCAATAATAGGTCAGTGAATATTTAGCTCCTCAGTGAAGATCTCTAAATGTATGTCCTGGTAGAATTTTAGGAAATCATCTGTTGGTGATTTTTTTTTTCCTCCTTGATGAAGGTTTTCAGCTTTCCTGGTAGAATTTTGGGAAATAATCTGTCAGTAGATTTTGTCCCTTGGAAATGATCTCTAAGTGTCCTGGTAGAATTTTAAGATATAATCTGTGAGTGGATTTTTGCTTTTGGGTGAAGATCTCTAGATATCCTGGTAGATAGAATTCTGGGAAATAATCTGTCAGTGGTTTTTTTGCTCTTTGGAGAAGATCTCTACCTGGAATAATTTTTCTAGTAATAATTTTAGGAAATGGAAGTATCAGAGTGGCCGGCCCTTTTTCCAGAAAGATCTGGATTGTTTGTTTGGAAATTGCAGCAACTCCCAGGGGACTCTCACCGAGGAGCCGCGGGTGCCGTTTCCAGCACTGCCGCCTCAGCACAGGCTGTGACTTGCTGGCTTTTGGCAAAGTGGCCAATTTTTCTGAAATATTCTGTGTGGAGAGGGCCGGAGGAGCGGGCCGGGTGGGATGTGGCACAGCAATAGGCTGGGAAAGCGGGGGTGGGGGTGTCCGTGGTGCCTGTGGGAAGAGGCGGGGGGGTGGGGGGTTCACGAGCCGGGATGTCGAGGAGGGCGGAGCGGGAAGCCCGGGATAAGGGGGCCGAGCATCCCTCCGCCGCCGGGCCGGTTGCCAAGGCGACGGCTGCGTGGCAACGGGCTGGCAGCGGGGACCGCCCGCCGCCGCCGCGGAGCTGCCGCGCAGAGCGGGCGCGCTGCCCTCCTCGCTGGATGCTGCGGCGGCCGCCCGGGAGCAGCCGCGCTCCGCTCCCGGTCCCCCACTGCCGGTGCCGACCAGGGGCCGAGCTCGCCGGGAGCAGCAGCGCTCGGTCTCCGCTGCCGGGACCAGCGCGGCGCGGAGATGGTGCCGCTGGTGCGGAGCGCCGGGGGCTCCCACCAGTGGCTGGCGATCGCTTTCCTCGGCCTTTGCTCGTTCCTTCCTCCTGGGAGACTCGCTGCGCCGGGCGGAGACTTCCCCGGGGCTGCCGTGGACAATCTGGTGGTCAGGAAAGGGGACACGGCGGTGCTTAGGTAGGAGGCGATCGCGGGCGGGAGGGATGCAGGGACGGAGCGTCCCCGCCGCCGCAGCATCCCCGAGATGCCCAAGGCTCCACCGGGAGCCTCCGACCCTTCTCGGAGACTATGCGGCGACGGGAATTTCCCCCGGGGATGCTTGTGGGGTGCTCCGGTGATGCGGGAAGTTATCCCTGTTACCACCCTGTACCCGCATCCCCAGAGCTCCGGGCTGCTCGCCCGCTCCCGGGGTGGTTTCGTTCCGCGGTTTCTTCTGTTTTAACTCTATTTAGGAAGCCCAGTCTGTTGCTAGAAGTTTGGAAACGGGTTGTTGGGGTGAAATGATGCAGTTTTGGCTTCTGGCAGCAGTTTGGGAGCTCTGCAGAGTGAGCAGCGCTGGACTGTGGCAGGGAGAGGACGATTACACCCTGCCAGAAGCATTAACATTGGTATTATTATTTATTTTGAGATATATTTCTGTATTTCTCAACGAGAAATGCCATGCTTTATGCCATGAGGAGATTATGTTCCTGTTTCTCCTAATGGACCTTGTGCTCCCGTATCTCCTCATTACTTGACTGGAGCAAAATTTGTTTACCAGCAGTCGGACACCATAGTTAATCTACTCGAGTCCTTCCTTCTGGTTTGTGTTCATTAATCCTCTGCTTGACTTGATTATTCCCCCAGCCCCTCAGACTCTAACTTTTTATTTATGTGTTGTACTTTTGCCATCAGCTTTCTGTAGTTCCAAAACCCCACATTTTCTTCTTCTCTGGAATATGGTTGCAGTGGGTTGAATCTCCCCACTGGTGATAAATCTCTGATTTTTAATTAGCAGCACTTCTCAGCTATGTATTATTTTTGTTGGACTATCACTGAAATCTCCAGGTTGCAGTGTGTTTTATCCATAAGCATTCTCAATGATCCTACAGTCTGCTGTAAAATGCTGCATGAAGCATTTTCAGTAGAGATTTGGAAGTGTTTTCAGGCTGCTCCTGGTGTAGTAGCTCCTGAAAATACAGTAGATGTCTATGTAGGGCAGCTGACAAGTGGTTTTTATGTGTACCTCAATTATACTCTGTATTTTGAGACGTGCTCAGGTCCTTGTGCTTTCTGTCAGCACAATTGGAGGATGAAAGGAAATAATAATTTAAAAAGTGGTTTATTTATACTGCTTCAGGCTCACAGGTTGCAGAGAAGGTAACTTGGTGGGTTCACAAGCAGTTAAGACAGATAGTCAGTACTAAATGCTATTAGGATATAAATGTGTTTAAAACTACAGCATTAAAAACAGGTGTGATTGCTCTCAATGTTACCTACCGATGGGGTTCTGCTGGAGCATATCCAGCTTTCCAGGCCTAAGGTTGTGTTTGGAACTCGGTGTTGATGCAGCTAGATAGGTTACATAAATGAAATGGGAGCTTTAGGCTGCAAACATCACTTTGGTCTCACTAGGAAGGGTGTGTGTGTGTGTTTTGTAAAGAAGTGCTGCTACAGGAAGCGTTAACCTCGCTGCTGAGCTCTGGGACAGAGGGATGAGGTGCTGGAATTTTGAGTGTTACATTTGGATTTCATTCTTTGTGCCCTGTGATTAACTTCTCTCATTTCCTGTGCCTTCGGCAGGCTTGCTTTAAATCAGGGCTTATTTTGTTTTAGGCTAGTGTTGTAACTTGGAAGAGGCAGTGCAGGATCACTGTGGGAGCAAACACTTTTAGAAGAGCATGCAGCAGCCAGGCAGAGCCTGTTATCCCAAGTCTCCCACTGCCCAGTGTCTCAGCTCCTCTGGGAGTGTTCTTCACTGGATATTTGTATCATAAACTAATTTCAATATTCAGTAAAATAATTACTATTAGTATCCTAAGAATTGGAAGCTGACTCTTTATTTAAATACAAATTCCAGCGAGCTGGATAAAACCATTTGGGTGCTGGAAAAGGAGTTTGTTCCTTCCAGCTCTGTAGCCATCTGAATTCAGCCCTTCCCAGTGACTGTGCCTCGCAGCGTCCAAAGTTGGCTGTGCTCCGGAGTTCCCAGCCTCTCGTAGCAAGATGGCCATGGGCTCCCTGTGGCCAGCATGTGTTGATTCCCCCCTCAGCACCACCTTCTCTGCTCTAGCAGTCTTGAGAGGGCTTCAAACGTTGCCTCCTCCCCTTGGAACCGAGGCAACACTGTGCCGAGAGCATCCTGCTTTAATAATTAAAGCTGGAGTATGGGCGGCACTCCCATGGCTTTGAGTCAGCATTTTCATGGCTGTCAGAAGATGAGAGTGATTTATGGGATGTGTGTTGAGGTGGAGCCAGCCCCCAGCAAGGGGCGTTGCGGGTGCCCTTGCTTGGGCGCGGACCCTGCGTGGGGCTGAGGACCTTGGACAGCTGGATTGCACATCACCCCGTGTTCTGAGCTCCCCAGGAGAGTGAATAAATGGGGTTACCCGTGTTGGACTGAGGAGAAACTTTTACTCACAAATCTCATTTTGAGCTGATATATCAGAGAGGAAAGCACGTAGCCTGTTTGAATGAGTATGGGGCAGGTGGGCCAGGTGCCAGCTCCAGTTCTCACGTGAAGTTTTCGTTGTCTTTGCTGAAGATGAGCAATAAAGGCTCCTGGAACTGCTGAGGTTTTCCAGTAAAATCCTCTGTGTGTTAACACGGAGTAAAATAAATAAGTTTGGCTCCCTCATTTTGAAATAGTTAACTCATATAACAGTGTAATTAGTCAATTTAGTATCAAACACACACAGCATTTATTTAGTGCTGCAGAAGCAGCACAGTGAGTATCACCCCCTGTCCTGGTGCTCTTGGAACATCTCTCCCTGCCTGGTGCTCTGGGAACATCGCTCCTGTCTGCTGCTCTTGCTCATCCAGACCCCTTCCCTCCTCACCCTCACGGCACCCCTGGGGTGAGTACCCTCTCCAGCCCCATTGCCAGGACCAGGACTATCGTGGGGCTGGGTCCTGCTTTGCTGTGCCCAGGTGGTACTGGGATGCTGGGATTCTCCTGTGGCCTCCCTGACCAGCAGTTCCCAATGCTGGCAGAGGCACAGTACCCACATGGCCCTTCATGAAGGACTGAGAGAAGAGCAGGTTTGCCAAGAATGTCACTGGACACCTGCTTTGGTACAGAAACACCCTCAGCAAGGGGATTTTACAGAAAAGCCCTTGTTAGCTGAGGAGTTCTGTCTGTGATGAGTGATTTCTGTAGCCTCAGTAATTAAACCCAGGCCCCTTTTGTTTGATTTCAATTGGCGATTGATCCCTGCAGTTCCAACACTATTTGTATTTATTTGAGTTATAAGAAATCACATCAGTAATGCAGTTGTTCTTCATGGCAGAATAATGTTGGGAAGCCGCTCATTTTCAGTAGTATTATTCCATCCTGTGCTCTTCCCAGGCAGCCTGTTAAGATTTCATGAGAACACATGAGGAAGGAGAGAGTAACTTATAAACCCATGATTTTATTAAAAGAATATATTGCTTCACTGTGGACTGCTAGAAATGCAGGGAACAAGCTGTATATTCAGAGCTGGGTTTCTCCCATGACCCTTTCCAAGACCTTCTGTAAGGAGTGGGATCACTGTGTGTTCCAGCATATCCATCTCGCTGACAGCAGAAGTGGAGATTTCAGGAGGGAGTGTTTTAGGAGAGGTAACAAATGCAGAGCACTTGACAGGACGCAGGCACAGCCAGAGTCGGAAGCAGGGCTGGCGTTCCAAGGCGGGATGCCCAGGGGGTATGAGACACCTCCACTTGAGAAGGGCTTCCTCCCCTTCCAGGTGATGTGGGGAGGACAGTGGAGAGCTCACATTGGGATGGCAGCAAGAGGCATTTCTGCTTCTGTGAGAAATAAAAGAATTCCTCTTTGCCTTCCTGTGGTGATGCTGATCCTGGTTACGGCCGATATGTGTGTGTGGCCCCCGTGGCTTTAGATAACGCAGGAAACAGGGATGTTGTCTTAGCAGTCCCCATGTACCTCACCTGCCATTTGGAGCCCAAGTCCCCATGGATATCAGAATGTGCGGAATGTGCTGAAGATGATCAAAAGGGCTTTGTCTAGCAAGCAAATGTTTTTATCCTGCATTTTGTTTTTCTCAAAGCTCATGGATAATGAAGGCAACTCTACCTGGTAGCATCTTTATAGTACCTTTACGTTCTGTCATCGCAGCAAATTGAGCTTCAGAAGTTGTCATGGTTTTAAAAAAGCAAAAGATCTTTTTACCAGTATATGATTATAGAGGAATTTAGGTAACATGGGTTCTGCAGTCTGTAAAATACTGTGAATTACTCGCTTCAAAGAGTTAAAGCTCAGGCTGGGATCCGTGATGTTCCCAAAGGCTGGCAGGAGGAGCTGGAAAGCAGATATCTGTGTCCAGCTGTGATCACAGAGCAGACGTGGGTTCTTGTCAAACCTGACTGGGAAATCTGGGGATTACTTTTAGGCCAACCATGTGAGCAGGTCAATGAATTGATCCATGTGTTTGCCCACAGTTGTCCCTTTTGGCCATCCCATGAATGTTGTCTAAGGTTTGAGCAGCTGATGGTCACCTAAGGAGGGTGATTATAGAGAATGTCTTTTTTTGGTCACAGCTCAGGAGGTTTGGGGCTTTTTAGTTTGTTTGCTGAATTGGAAATTCTTCGTGTGCAACCTGACTGCTTCTCACTGCACCTTGGAGACTTTTGGGTCTGTGTTGTGTCCACTCTCCCCTGCCTTGGGGACCTGGGACAGTCACCAGACGTTGCAGATAAGCTCCTGGCAAGGCAGGACGGGCTGTGGGGATCTGGAGCTGTCCCCAAACACTTCAGGTGAGCCCCTGGCAAGGCAGGATGGTCTGTGCCTGCAGAGGAGCTCTGCCCAGGGCTGTGTCTTATTGGGTTTTTTCACTGGTGTTGAAAGGTTTGGGCACGTCCTTGGCAGCTGATCTGAAACTATTTGTCTCTTTTGCTGGCTGCTCTTAGAGCTTCTCAGTTTGTTCTTTTCAATAAGATTTTCTGCTAGTGGAAGCAGTTACCATCTAGGGAATGGGAGGAGAAGCTCTCTGTGCCTGTTGGTGTCTGCGAGTGCTATTGCCCCAAATGCAGTGAGTGGGAATTCTGTTCCCCTTGGGAGGGACGCTTCCCGACTGTGATGGTGGGGGTGCCCAATGGTGCCTAATTAATATTTAAATTGCTGGGGTGCCAGTGACTTTTGGGGATTGGGATTTACCAGTTTTGCCTTCTATTCCAAAAGAGCTATCCTTTACAGCTGAGAGTCTTTGCCCAGGAAGTGACAGCGTCATGGAAAACTGGTGGCGCATCTACCAAACATTCCCCATCTGTTGCCATTCCTGTTACTGAGAACTGGGCATTTGGAAAGGAAGTTTTGCAGTAGGAAGAGCAGGTGGATAACAAGTTTATACAGTATATTGGAATTTTGAGATACTATATGCATCCCAGAATCCCAGTCCCTCCAGTGCATGTCCAGTGCTGGGTGCAGCTGTGAATACCTGCAGATGTGTTTATGGAGAGTGTAATAAATATAAATATTTTCTTCTTTACTTTATGGTTTTCAAAGGTTCAGTTCTTAAGGCCCATACTCTTGGTACTGCGGTGCAATTCAAGGTCACAAATTCTTTGTCTATGTGAAGTTTCATTCCTGAAACGTGACCTGGTATGTGCAGACTCGTGTGCACACCCCCTGGAAAATGAAGTTGTTTGCTTAAGGCTTTCCTATTCCCAAATCCTACCAATTATTAAACAGCGCATTATGGTACTTGCCTCTTGTCTGTGCAACAATAATAAATAAATTCAGTGTAAATTAAAATAATTTATCATTTTAAGTGATGGTGAATGTTTCAGCTGTTATGTAGAGGAGCTAACAAAACAAGGAGTCAATAAGGAATGAAAACCAGGATTTGTTCCAAAGGGCTGTTCTGATGAACAGACAACAGAGACTTAAATGACTTTCTTCTTGTCACCACGTGTAAGAGCTGAGCATAGCCGATGTCTCAGGGGGCTGACTGCGAGGGCAGGAAGGTCCCACTTGGACCCTGCTGGGCAGCTCTGGTCTGTGCATCTTCTGATCATAGAATCCCAGACTGGTTTGGGTTGGAAGGAACCTTAAAGATCATCTCGTTCTAGTCCTCTGCCATGGGCAGGGGCACCTTCCACCAGAACACTTGTTGAACACTAAAACGATGCTGGAACGAGGTTTCTCCATCTCTTGCTCTTCTGAAAGCTCTTGGTAGCAATGAGTAAAGAGATGAACCCACCCTTATTGAGCAGGTTTCAATATGTAACTCACTTAGCAACATTTCTGTTACTCCTTTTCTACCCATGATAACAGAGCAGGTTTTAATGGGGGATTTGGATCAGACAAACTAAATTAGTTAAAAAATGAGCACAACCGGATATGAAGGTCTCAGAAAGGACTTACATTATTAAATTGGTGTATTTTGGGATCGGTGCTTATGAAGCACTGAGTTAGTTGTGTACTCTAACAGATGTGATGAAAGATCTCATACCAGTGGGAGTTAAAGATACAGGAGTTCTGCAGGTATTATGTTGCTTAGGGAATAAAATAATACATAATAATTCAATAATTAAAACACTTATCTGTATAATCATGCTAAATAATTTTGTTTATAAATTTAATATAGTGCAATATAATATTTACAAATTTTGGTTAATTCATTAAAAATATGTATGCATTTATCTCAATGTGTTATGTCATAATTATCTTGAATTAATGATAGAATTAAATCAAGAAACTGGTGAAATCATGTCCCTTAAATGTGTTGTACACAGAGAAGTGTTGAAGTGTTTCACTGTCCAGCTGCTGCTTTAGGTCATGTGGATATAAGTTAAATTGCATCTCAGCACTTCAGGCAC